TCTTATGAATCTTTGTCCTTTTTAATTGAAGAACCCAGGCCATGCACCGATTGGCATCATTTATATCCAATGACAGATCCCCTTTTCTGTGCATGCCCAGCCAGTGCTTTTGCTTAGTCCATAGACAAGCTGACTACTTTTGAGCACATATAACATTTTTTTTTAAACCACCCGGAGGAAAACATCCTTTCCAATCTGGAGATGGGAAAATAGAAAAATGACTGCAAGCGGAAATGCTTCCTCTGCAATTGTTAAGCACGTACCTTATAAGAGTCAGAGTTTTTTCTCTAATAGAAACTAGTGTATTTGCCATGAAGCTGTGACAGTAAACATGTCTTTTACCTCTTAAAAAGCAGAAGTTTGAAATACATTTTTACCTAGCTAGAAGTCTATTCCACCATTCATCACAGGAAAAATCAAAAATAGGAGGTTAATATTAAACAAAGGTGTCTTAGACAAGGCTACAACATAATAACTAAAACTAGGATTTCTGAATTCCCAAGACTGGTACACTCTATCAGACTACAGTTTATCTACCCCATATTTAGTGCACATTCTAAAATAATGTCGAAAGTCAATTTCTATGAAAATACAACTACTTCAATTTGGCACAACTTGCCTTCTCTCCAGTGTTTTGAAGGAAGTGATACTAATTTCCACTCATATAGAATAAGGGACTTTTGACTTCTTCAAGTGTGAGGCTGATATCACCACCAACAGAGGCTGACCAGCTAAGACCAGAGACGTGTGGAGGAAGGCAGGGTTTATCCAGCCTCAGATGAAGAGAGCTTTGGGGTTTGGTCTTCAGTTCTTCATAGGAAAAGAAAATAATCCAATATGACACCAAATAATTAAGTTGAACCTAAAAGACTATGCTCATCAGCAACCAAAACTATTTAAAATGAAAAATTTTGGACCTCTTTCCCAGCTTCAAATAGTATCATTTTGATTTCCACTCTCCACTTCTACAAATTGAGAACTTTTAAAATTTATCCTCACATTAGTGTTATAGCATCTATCAGAGAGATGGGGGGGTAGGAAATTAATTTTTATTACAACCAATTACATTTTCATTATGAGGAAATAACAGAAATCCAACACTTTCCAAATCTTGACGGTGAATTCATATGACAGTGAAGAACATTCTATCCTAACCCATGAACACTGAGTACTTTCACTTCTACTTTTAAAACCAGTAATTTAAGTTTTATTTAAAAGTTCTCCCCTCCCCTGACCACTTGACCTAAATGTAGAAACACTCCAGTCTTTCTCCATTTCAAACCAAATACTAAAAAATACCTATTTCTATGATCCTGTGTAGCCTCTCTAAAGACTCAAAAAATGATTAAAATGAAGATAACAGCACCACTCCATAAAGATTTTTAAAAGTTATGTATTTAAAGTGCCAGGTGAAGCACGGTGTTCACATATAGTAAATAATATATGGGAGTTACAGTTTTAGGATATAGAAGACTAGGATGCAGTTCCTCCCACTATCATTTGCTAGTCCTATAATTCAGGCAAGTTATTCAATCAAAACCCTCTGCCTCCTGATTTGTAAAATGGAGATGACACTAAAACTCTCAGAATATAGATAAAAATATAAATACAAATCAGTAAAAAGAGTAACTGACCAACAGTGGATGTTTAAATAAGTAGTTACTTTTGTTTTTAACATTATTTGTAATAAACAGATAATTTCAAATCAAATTATTCCCATAATACTCTCATCATTAATCCTTAGATCCATGGGTCATCATTAATCCTTAGACCTATGAATCCAAATATCCTATTTTTAAGAGTACCAATTTAAATTTTATTTAAAATGCAACTTGGGAGGAATTTGCACTTGGAATTCAGGTTCTCATACTATACCTTAAAGTGATGCCATTCATACTTTAGTTTTGATTGAAATGAAAAAAAAACCAACTTGCCAAAGTTAAAAGGTAGAGAAGGAATACCTGAACAACTTTACAAAATGCCTTTTCTTCAATAAAACTTCACAGAAAAATAACACAGGATAAAAATCTCTTCCATTGTCTCTTGTCCAACCAGCTATTCTCATCTAGTCTCCAGTCCCAAGTGCTGCCATTATCTGCCCTACTTCACAGAATTTACCAAACGCTCTAACAAGCAGCATAGCTACCAACATGTATCACTTCTGTTTTTATGAAAATCAAAAAGAATGAAACAGAAAAACACAAAGCATTCTCTCTTTAATTAGCATCAATGACATCTATCAGGAGAATGGAAACATAAGTAACAAGAAAGTACATCTTCTGGGTTAGTGACTTCCTGAACAAGAGACCCTAACTGCCCATGTATGATTAAGTATCATCATGTTTAAAAATTTAAGCTAACCAGGTGGGGGACATAATGGTGGCATCCTGTAATCAGAACACTGCTGAACTGATAAGCAAAACCAATCCTTAAGAATTCTATTTGGTAAGTTTATATAAATCATATAACATTTCTTGTTACATTGAAAGCTCTAAATTTAATATCTTCCCCTTTTTACAATACACAATCCTGTCTATAAACATCCTGTTTACACTGACTTCAACACAGCCAATACTTGTTTCAGCCAACAGGATCATTTTTCTTAGGAGCTGTCCCAAGAAATTTTCAGTCTTACAAGGCGAGGAAATACTGCCTAGCGGCGCAACCTAAAGAGTGGGAATGGAATACGGAGCTCTGGGTCTGATCCTTTCACTCGCTACCAGAAGGCTGCCAGCCACACACACACTCAACCTGTCTGGGATGGTGGGGTAGACAGCACCCTCTAAGACCTAAGAATTATCAAAGAAACTCAAGTCAGGTGTTCCTTTAAGGCTATATTCACAGACACACTAACCTACCCACAATGGGCCATTTACTGGGATTGTATGTAAATGCTACATGTGTGAATGCCCCAATTTTCCCCATACCTCACCTATTCCAGAGCACAAATGGAAACATGGGCTTGTATCATTAACAGTAACAGCACTTGACTTCTGCATAGCAAACTACACAACCCATCAACTATTTTCACAGACATTACCTCAAGTCACCAGCAATCCAAGGCCAGTGGTGTTTTCACTACATTTTGTAGACTTGAGTCCCAAAGATGAATCGCTAGGGCATGTCAGCTAAATGTACTGCATCACAGATTCCACACACACACCCCTCATATAGAAGCATGAGAGATCTGAGTGAGATTCCAGGCTAATCCACTAATTCTGTAGGTAAGGAAGTTGAGACTCAGAAGGATGACATAACTGGTCCAAGGTCACACAGCTAGACACAAACATCTCTGAAACCGAAGCCAGGCATTCTGATTCTGTACTCCCCCCTCCTCTGTCAGAAATCTTTTTTACAAAATATGGTTGAAAGAACCTGGATCACAGGGCCTCCCTGGTGGCGCAAGAGGTTAAGCACCCCACTATGAAGCAATCCACAGCCTTTGCAGCACAAAGGCTGATCCTGGGCCAGCCAGGGAGCAACCCACATGGTGAAGCAGACCTCTCCTGTCTTGCCCGCTGCTCCCCTCAGCAGTGTATTTCAGTTAGTCTGCCTGTTCTGTTTCCCACTCTGTCTCTGGTGAAGCCTCTCACCCCCGGCACCTCTGGCCTGTACCCCAGCTCTTGTATACATATATAAATAAATCTTAAAAAAAAAATCCTGGATCACTATGCACAATGTACATACCTAATTTTTGATTTGTTATGTTATGGCAAGTACAATTTCCCAAATATTGTTTTCTTAATGCAGAAAGATGCTACCAAGGCAATGCAGATGTAGGAGCAGTTGAGAAAATTACAGATTCTAATTTAATCTTGGTATAAAAACCTTTACAGTTTCTTTTTTATGACCACAAGACCATTAAGTGAACTCCTAAAGTTCAAAAGAGTGAACGCCTAAGAGAAATACTTTCTGAACCTAAAACACTAGAATTGGGAGTAACTCCAATCCCACAATAGGCCATTTGTGTTCAAATTACTGTTTAAACACTCTTTTACTTTGATATTCTGACAAAAACATTTGGATTTAAGTGTAGTCCCTGTAGAATCTGCATTTTCTTTGTGTAGTCTTCCTAATTCCCCAAAGCATCCTGCATCAATTAAATGGTAGCCTATTCACTTACTCCTCAGAGTAATGTCTCCATTTTTTTTTCTCTGATTTGACATTTTTTTTGGGGGGGGGGGCACTAGCATTTACAGAAAGATGAAAAATGCCACCTCAACTAGAGTGGGCAGAAATGGGATTTAATAATCTTCAATACTCCCAAGATTGGGAGTTACAGCCTTGTGATGAGACCAGAGGAAAGGTGAATCCTAAGACCACTAAGGCTTTCTTCAGGAATCTAGTCTAGCTTTTCCCCCCACTTAATCTAGAATCAGAAAGGTAGTTGTTATACCTAGACGAAGGTGTTTTTTGTTTTTTTGTTTTTTTTTAAGGAATTAGTACCTAATTGCTTTGGAAAACATGAAAAATCTCTGCTCAATTATTCCCATTATTAGTGAAATTCATCCCCCAGTGGGATGACCTGTTTGAGATTCAAGGTGTCCATTTCCTGATGGGAAATTGTCAGTTCTCACCCTGCAGTTCTCAGCTGGCATTTCTTAAACAACACTCATCACAGCAGGGTGGTTGACCACACTCTGCGAGGGCAGGAGCTGCTGAGTTCCCCTTTCACTGGGCAGTGGTTTTTTACATTGGCCCCAGAAAGGGTTCTGCACACAGTAAGAACGTTGGTAGCTAACTGGAGGGTTTTTGGTGTGCATGGGTGTACTCCCCCTCCTCTCCTTCCTTTCATGCAGGCTGGTCCCAGCAAGGAGCTTAGATAAAGATCTGAGACAGTGTTTATTTATGGAAGGGAGGAAGCAGAATGTGTGCAAATTTAATGCTTAGACAAAGTAGCAGATCTCCTATCTCCAAGGAGAGCCTAGCCAACAATTTCCTCTGACCACCAAGGACTGTCCCTCTCCACCCCACACTTCATGGGCTAGATCTCCACCTACCCCGCATCTGCTTCCCCGGGGTGTGGGCCATAACTTAAGCCTGATTTTGCATATTATCCGACCAGGTGAAACCTGGATCCCCTTGCTTGGTATGCACGTGCCAATCGGTCCCCCAAGCCCCACAAAGATGGAGGGGGTGAGAAAAAGTGGAGGGCAGTGGCGATGGCTCCGGATTCATACACGATTTGCCCTCGTCTAAAGCAGTTTAGACGAGGTTTAGATCCGCTGAGGCTGCGCCGCCAGAGCCCACCAAAGGCAGCGCAGGAAACAGGCTCTCCAGAGCCCAGCGGCGCGCGGGGCCGGAGAGCGCCAGACCCTCCAAAGAGCCCTCGCGTCCAGAGAGGCAAAGCAGAGACGCCTGGGTGCCTGAGACATCTGACTACTCCACCGAAACGGGAACCAGTAGCCGGCAACACGGTCAGCCCCTGGCGCCGTGCCCTTCTCGGAGTATAGCTGAACTCCAGAAACCCAAAGATTCCGAAAATTCCGAAAGCGAAACTGCAAGCAGGTCTCCATAAGTTTGGGAGCGTCTCCCAGGCCTCCGACTTCGTCCCAGGACTCCCGACACCACAAATGTTGTCAAGAACGAGCACCCGGTAGGAGCGACGATCTCTCCTTGAGGCCACCCTCTGCGGCCCCGGGTACCTCCCTTGGTTTTTTTACGCTCGCAGGTCCGCAGCCCCCGGCCGCTGGAGCGCCCCGACTTCCCACCCCCGGTTCCGGGGCGGTGGTCGGCCGCTCTCCTAAGCAGTCTCGGTTCCTCGCTCCTCCCCCAAGAAAGGGAAACTTGGGCCCTGTGAGAATCCTGTGGAATGTTCTTTGTAATCGCTTGTATACTTGCTTCCATTGCACCGCTCCGTGCAAAATCGCGGGTTTCGGGCGTTGGAGTGAATTGTGCGCTTGTCAGCTGCGACGTCAGGAGAACGAGGGGAGGGGTTCCCAGCTAAAACTGCAGTTTACAAGCACAGAGCCATTTTAGGCTGGTTTCCACTTCGGCAAAACCCACGGGAGAGCCATCCCCGGGAGGACCCGCGGGGAGCGCAGGCTGAAAGGGGCGGGACGCGCCGCGCGCTCGGCCAGGGGAGGGGGTGAAGCTCATTTAGGCTAGAGCGCCGGGGTTTGCCAAGCTTTGCCGCCCAGCCGGGAAGGAAAAATCTACCGCTGGGTCTCCCATTCAGGCGACGCTTCATACTCAAACCCCCCACCCACCCCCCCCAACGCACACACACCCGGCCAACCGGATACCGCGAGGCACAAGCCTCTCCAAAAGCGCAGCGACCAACTGGGGAACCAGCTGGCCCTATCGACCCCTTTTTTAGGCCCCTGCAAAAGCCGAAGGGACCACCTTACTGCGGTCACTACAGATCAGCCCAACACTATCTTTTTAATCCTTACGGTTTAAAAACGTCCGGTAGATGCTCCATCAGGTTCGCCAGCCCAGAAAAGACCCCCTGGCCTGCCCTCGCCCGGCCCCAAGAACCGCACACAGCTGCCCCGTGGCCCCGATCCGCCAGGTCCACGCAGCTGGCACCGCCGCGCGACCTCCACTCGGCGTCTGCGTCCTGGCGCTGGCGACCCCTGTCGGGGACCCGTTCCCAACTGAGCGAGCTCGGGTTTGCTAGCTTTCCTTCGGACTCCCCTTAAAGGCTCCAACTTTGCCCCCAAACTCCACTCCCAGACCGGCCTGACCCCGGATGCTGCCCTTCCCGGGACACCTCTCCTTCCCCTGAACCCCCTAAAGACAATAACCCCGCCAGCCAAAGCGCGAGGACTCCCCTCTCCCATTCAGAGACGCAGCACCCCAGGAGCTCGACAGACGGGAGGCTTTCTCCCAAGAACGCTTTCCCCATCCCCCGCCTCGTCCCCAGAGCGCAACTCCAAAAGCAACTCCTAGCCTCGACCCTACCTGCTTTTCCGCGGAGGTCCGCGCGCCGGGGCTTTTCTACCCCTGCACTTTCACACTCTCCAAGCCTCCGCTGCGCGCCCCAGACCTCGCGCCCCACCCCACTGCAGCGCGAAGAGTAGCAGGAGCCCACCGCTAAGTGCAGCGCGCCCCCTGGACACACAAAACCCCAAAGGCGTCTGCAGCCCGACTGCACCCAATACCCTGACAATCCTTTTACTAAGCACCTCCTCGCTCCACCCACTCCAGGCTTTACCCGCACGGGAACCAGAAAACAGAGAGCTCGTCTCATAGAAACCCGAAATAAATCTCTTTCCAACACCACGTATATTGCACCACGTGTCAGCAGTTTGTCACGTCAAATCATAGCAGGGTCTGCTGCCAAGACGCACTCACATTCGGGGTGAATCTCTTGCAGCTACTCCCCCCACACACACACACACCTCACACACAGGTAGGCACAATGCTCCAAAGGCACACAAAGCAGTAGTGCTTGGACACCTCAGTCCCGCTCTCTTCCCGTGAAAAATGTACCGGACACACAGACTCTAACCATGGAAAAAACTAGGGCAGCTCATTCCCTCTTTCTTTTCCCACTTAATTCGCTAAAGCTGTTCCTGGAGTAGTCAAAGAGAGTCGAAACTAGGCGATGGCAACTTCCTTTGGGTTTTTTCCCACCTCAAAACCTTTATTTTTAGTTTTTAAAAGCCACCTTAGCCCGCCATATTGAAACTGGCATGATTTCCAAATACTCCTTCCCCGCAGTTGTAGCGCTTCCAAGAAAACGCAAGTATGGATCCGGCTCTGGACGTGCGTTCGGCCACCGCCAATCAACCAGTTCCCACCTCCAACTCTCCCCCTTTCCTGGGCTAATGCCTTCCCGCAGCTCTGGATCAAAATCGATAAATAGCTCTTAGCAGTTCTTAGTTATTTTTTTGTTAGATTTTACCAAGACAAATACATTAAAAAAATAAAAACGCAACTCCAAACCCGATCAGATCAGCAATTTTGAAAGGAGGTCATAGGAGAGTAGACAACAGGAAAGCCCCAAGTAACAGGATATTACTTTAAGAAAAAAAAAAAAAAAAAAAGAACAAAAAGATCATCCATGCCGGAGCACGCTCCGAAACTACTACTGACAATTTCATTTCAGCTGCAGCGTTTCCAACGGGGAGATTCCGAATTTCTAGACGATTTTTACCCCCCTTTCTGGTTGGTCTCCAGTCCTCACCCCACCATCTTCTTCCCCCCAAACACACACACACCCTCCGCACCCCCAAAAAGAAGTGACCCCAGCGGAGGAGACAGGGGCGAGCAAGGAGTAGCAGCGAAGGTTGCGTCGCTTAAATGAGTGCACAAATGGGCGGCGGGAAGGGGACAGCTTGCACGGGAGCCAGGGGCACTCACAACTACCGACCGACTCCTTCAAGGCCCGGCTTTTCAAAGCGGGGTGAGGGGGGGTGCAGGGGGGAGAGGACGAGGGCTGGAGAAGCAAAAACAAATGACAACCCCGAGCGCAGAGCGGACTTTGGGGCTCAGCTCAAGTGCGGTCTCATCCTCCCGCTACCCTACTCTTTTGCTTCTCTCCTTCCGACCCCCCTCAAACCACCTACCCCCCACCCCGGGCTTGCACGAGCTTCGCTTTTTTTTCGAAGCCGGAAAAAATAAGCTGACCAGCGCACTCAACCTGCGGGCCGGAGGTCTGCTGGCGGGGCGGGCGGGGTGCAGGGACAGCGGCCGGCGCAGCGTCCTACCTGATGAAGTTTGACCTCCCCTTCGCAGACCAAGGCCCGGGGTGCCTCCGAGGGGTACGCCGGGCTCGGTCGCCCGCTCTGCCTAGCTCTGGCTCGCTCGCTGCCCGCCCGCCGCCTCCCTAGCGCGCCCGCTCTGGTCCTCCGACTCCCACTACAGCCTCATTCCAATATGGCATCCTCTCTGTGCGCATGCCCGGCACTCTTTTTTAAGATTATTATTTTGTGTGTGCAGCGAACTCCTTCAACGACCTTTTCCAGCGCTTGCAGAAATTCTTAAGCCAATAAGCCTGCCGACTGTTCTCCACCGATTCCCTTGACCCACTTCGATCCCCTCCCCCCCGGCTCTGCTCCTGGTCCACCTACCCCACACCCGCCCCCAGACACACACTAGCACATTTCACGCTCACACTGTCCCCTCCCAGCCCCGCTCCCCTTCCTCGGTTCTTTTAGCTCCCTCCATACACAATCTGCAGAAAGTTCACATCACAGACGTTTCCGCAAACCCATCTGCAGGAAAATCTGGGCGAACTCCGCGTCTCACTACTGGACGATGTAGGTTTTCTGGATTTGCAACCCTTTCTGGACCAAGTGTCCAAATTTGCGCTTTATCCGCCAAGGGAGCATTTGGAGCGAGAAATTCAATCCTCGCAGCCACCCTTGCCCCGCCCACTCCGCCCCACCCTGCACTTAAATTGAGCCTTTTCTATGGAGATTCAAACGTTTCCTGGTCCCTCAGGAATGGCGGGAGGGGGCCGGGAGAGGTTTTCCAGGGAAACGTGCCCCAAGAGGAAGGAAATTAAGTTGGGGCTGCAACGGTGAGTTTGCAGCTGCGATCTGCCACTTCGGAGGAGAACCCAGGTAGCGTGGGTCGCCAAGGCGTCCCCTGGGGCAAAGCCCGGGTCTGGGAGCCCGAAGTGTGGACCTGGCCTGGGTCGGCTTTGTAGAAAAAGGAAATCCTCCCTGGAAAAAAAAAAAAAAATGTGACCCTTGGCGATCTGTTGGAGTGAATTAAAAGCTGCGCAGCCCAGTGCAGGGTAGGGCTCCAGCCAAAGAGTGCGGGTCCACGGACATTTTAAATGGACTCTGAGGGGTTACCCGGGCGGAAGGCACAATGACCCGCCAGAGACAAAACGAAATGTCCTCAATGCAGAAAAATTGGCGACGCCGAGTAGGCAAGACCTAGAACTTCCAAAGATCTAGACTCTTCGATTTACAGAGAAAGGAGATGCTGGTGGGCGACTATTTCCCTAGAAAAATAGAGGAAACACGTTTCGTCGGGGTTTTTGCTCCATTGCACAGGAGGTAAAATTCCCCAGTCTCCCAATTCTCTGTTGACCTCTTTCCCAGGAACCCCTCTGACTGTAACCCCCACACTCCCCAGTCGGGGTCAGGAGCCCCTCTTGCTTTACTCCTCCCGCTCTCCATGCCAGCGAGCAAGAAGGACCTCGAAACGTTTCAGTTTGCGGTTCCACGCACCACCCTCACGCTACCACTCCTGCAGGTCCGCGTCGGTGCACTCTGAGGTCCCCAAAAGAAAGGTGGACCCTTCCAAGGACAGGGGGCAGGGCGGGGTCCACCAGGAGAAAGTCGCGAAGCCAGAAGCAGACAGCGCGCGGGAAGGCAAGTGTCCTGCCCAGGAGGTCCTCGCACGGACGGCGGGACCCCAAACTAGTCTAGGAGAACCCCGAGAGTGACTTGCGGGGAAACGACTCTGTCCAAACTCTAAAGGTCGCGAGCGCCTCTCGGCCGCAAGGAAGCTCGGAGATCTGGGCGAGCAACCAGAAGCCGCACACGTCTAGTCTGGGAAGATCATATTTCATTATATCCTGA